AAATCTGCATATAAGTGGACTCCTGTGGTTCAAAGCCATGTTGTTTAAGGATCAACTTTGTGCAGGGTTTTGGAAGGAAAAGCCTCCTTTATTTTGTCTGAATGCTGAGATTTACATAGGTAAAACTGTCAGTTTTTCTGACTCTAGAAACCAGCAGGTAAATTACCAGGTTGTTCTCTGCTATTTTATTTTATGAAATGTGGCAGTACAAAATATCAGATTTCAAATAAAACATATCAAAAATATGGAATATTAATTAGCAGATTATATAATTTTTATTATTGAAATAACTAAAATAATTAAAATTCAAACAAACAAGGCTTATTCTTATAATACATGAGCTGGTAGGTCCAGAACCTGAAACACTTCACAGTTTCCATGTTATGTTTGATGGCTGTTATCTGTTCCTTGGCCCTTCTTATGAGTATCTCCAGTATTTACCTGAATACCTTTCAACAGAAGATCAGAAGGCAGTTGTGTTTTTGTTCGTGGCACTTCCTGGTTCCTCATATATTGAGGGGACGGCATGTAATGAGGAGGAGGGCAGAGTTCCGACTAGCAAGTCCTTCTCCTTTTCCACATGGTCACTGCCATTCTGCATTTGCTCCGGTCCAGTGGGACTTTCCTGGCAGCTGTAATCATGCATCTTCTTCCAATGATCAAACTTAAGGGTAAGTTCTTAACCTGTGTGCTCTGTGGCCACATCTGACCCTATAAACTTCCCCTCCTTGAAAGGCTTTTCCTGCATGTGGAAGTACTATTTGTTTTACCATTTCTTAGATTTCATATCCTTAGTCCCCTTTCCTGGTTCACTTTTTCTTTGCCTACTCCATGAAGTTGGCATACTATGGTCCTCTTTTATTTATATTCACTCAACCCAGTCTCCCAGTAACCTTACCCACTCCATGGCATGGATAATTACATCAATGGCTCACAAATCTCTAGGAACTCTATCCTGAACTATAAACTCCTGTTTCCAGGTACCTCAAATTAAATAAGATTAACATGTCCACTGACACATCATTTTGGCAACCATATATATGGTAAACTGAAATTCAAGAGAGTGAAATTAAGGGGACAAGTTAGGATGTACTCTTCTTTCTAGGTGAGAGGTAATGATAAAGATGATCATTAAATGAAAAGATAAAAGAAATGACATTGATATCTGGCAGCATGGTCAACCGGATGTAGCCCAACTAGATTGCTATAAAATATACATTAAAGTATATATATCATAGGACTCTAACAACAAAAAAAAGGAAATCTCCAAAGGTATGATACTCTCAATCAAAAAACATCCAGTTAAACAAAATCCCTTGATTGAAACTAAAGTAAGAATCCCTGAGCAGAAAACAAACGGGTTGGAGGAGGGAAGGCAGAACTACTCTGAGGACCATCATCCTCAGGACACTGAACCTTGAACAAGTTTCAAGGTTAAAGATGCTAAGCCTGAGACTTCTGATTGAGCCAGGGGCAAAAATGTTCCCAGGTTATTAGTGCCCCTAACTTTGGCAGAAACAATTTAAAAAATCATGTGTAGATTAAAGTACTTTTGATAGAAGCCCCCAGAACTACTATAAATAAAAATAAAACAAATATGAGTTCACAAAGATCACTAAATACACAAGGAAACAAGCTACTATAATGGAAAATTAGAAAATAGATTTACATTGCCATGGATTTCAGATAATTGTATTATTAAAGTTAGAATATAAAATAACTCTGTATATTTATATTTAAAACAAACACACAAGATACAATAAAAAAATTACCAGGTAGTTCTTTTAAAGAATAAAATAAAATTTTAGGAATGAAAATATTATTTAAGTTAAATAACTTGGCACAGTTGAGAGAATTTGCTAACTAAAAGCTGCACAAATAAGGAATTACAATGTTGCACAGAGACAAGAGATAACAAATATAAAGAGGTTAATTAAGCAAGACAGAGAAGATGAAAAGGTTTAACATGTCTACTCAGGAGATTAAGTTAATGGCTGAGATGATATGTATCAATAAACACAAGAGGAACAATGTATATCAAGCAGGATAAATTGAAAGGAATATATAATTATACATTTGTAATGGAAATGCAGAACTCCAAAAATAAAGAGATCTTAAAAATTGCCAGAGCGAAGACAGGTCATCCACACAGGAACTTCAAATAGACTGACACCAGACCTCTTAATGGCAACAATGGAAGGTAGAAGACAGTAGGAAAATGTCTTCAAATTATGGAGAGAAAATAAGCATCAGTCTTCTATGATGTAACAGTGGAATTCTCTTTCAACAACGAAAGCAAAATAAAGACCCTGTCAGATATACAAAAACTGAGCACATTCGACAGATCTTCAATAATGGGACCACTAGGGGATATATCTCAGGAAAAAGGAAAATGACCTCAGAAAAAAATCTGAGAAGCAATGGCTTTTAAAAAAAAGGATTTGGTTAATATGCAGGTAGATAAATATGCACACACATGCACACACAGTTTTGATATTTTTTAAGATCAGAAAATATTAATTAGCAATATCATATAACTCAGAAGGGATTAGCAATATCATGGAACCAGGGCAACCTCGCTTTAAAACTTGCACTCTCTAGAAAAGAATGAACTATGTGCTGTAGGCTTTAGGTCCTTCTTCTTCAGATCAGGTCTCTGGTTCTCGGGTTTTCTGAATTCAAGATTAGATATGCCATGTTGCCTTCATTAAAAAGGAACGATCAAATTGTTTCCCTGTTTGGCTCCATATCAGAGAAGAGATGAGCCAGTTTCCTCTTTGGCTGCTACAGCATTTTAGGAACCTGAAATTCCACCACTTTGAACCCTACAAATTTTAAAATTAATATCATTCAAAAGTTATCACCAGAGACACTGTCAACTACAAGTACATTTACTTTTATAGGGTACTTACAAAATACTTCTAATGCTTGAGGCTCTGTGTTAGGACTCATAGGGTTAGAAAAACTAATGACATTAGTCCTTGATCTGGAGCAACTCACAATCTAGTAGGAGAGACAGCCATAAATGATAACTATCACTTATTAAGTACTTAATACATGCTAGTTACTTCTTATTTATTATTTATAATTTTGACAATGATGTTTAAGGTTGGTAAACTCTTCTATAAAATCAAAATAAGAGTTTAAGTAACATGTCCAAAGTTACACATCTAATAAATTATGAAGCTAGGGTTCAAACTTAGTTCTGTTCGACTCCAAAGCTTTAGCTTTTCAAAAATTATTATTTCATGCTATCTCCACCAATGACTAAAACCGCAGGCTATAGGTGCTATACTAGGACTGTAAATTAAGACTTCAGGGAGCTTTCATAACTAGTGCATCCTCCTCAATACTGAATAAGGGGCGATCCATAGTTTCTGTTGATTATCGGGATGGCATGAAGTAATCAATCAGATTGTTGGTGGTATAATACCCATTAAAGATATTTCTGAGACCTTCTGTCAGCTGTGATGAGTAACTTGTAACAGACTATCACCATAAACATAATGGTAGAAGTCATTCATTGCTCTCATCTGGATATTGATAACAGTATGTTTTGATATAACTACTGAGATTATATTAAAAAATACTAGGTTGAAGAATAATTCTATGTTAGTATATCAATCCAAAATAAATTAAAATACAAACCTCCAAGTTAATGGCAGTGAGTATATTTAAAAAATAAGAATATATCCCTGGCTGGGTGGCTCAGTCGGTTGGAGCATTGTCCCGTTCCGCAAAAGGTTGTGTGTGTGATTTCTGGTCAGGGCACATACCTAGGTTTCAGCTTTAATTCCTGGGTAGGGCGCATACAGGAGGGAACCAATCGATGTTTTTCTCTCACATCTATGTTTCTCTCTCTCTCTCTTCCTCTCTCTAAAATCAGTAAACATATCCTTGGGTGAGGATTAAAAATAAGAAGAATATAAAT